TTCATTCCGACCCTCAGATCAAAATCTCATCTATCAACCGGAATTCGCCAAAATACTAACTTCGCCAATTCAAGCCTAATTCTACACCGGACCTCCAAAATCAATTCCGATCGCACTCCTAAGTCACAAATCCTTTCCCGAAGCTAACCGAATCACCGGAAATTACATCCGAGCCTTCTAACTCATAAGTCAACGTCCGGTTGACTTTTCCAACTTAGGCCTTCCTTAAAGAGACTAAGTGTCTCATTTCTTATCAAAACCAATCCAAATCAACTCTAACACACCACATACCGATAACGAAACATGAAGAAGCATAAAATGGGAGAAACGAAGCAGTAACACTTGAGACGATGGGTCGGGTCGTCACAATTATAGTACTAATTCGATGTAGGCAAGAATTAGATCCTACTATAATTAATTGAAATTTATTCCACTAAAAAACTGCAATTGAACTCCTCAATATGAATTTCAAAAATTCATCAACACTTATTTTAACTCCCCATGTTAAGATTTCAAATACCAGTTAATTAAATTAAATCACTGAAAATTTAATTCAATCAACTAATTAAATCCTTTATAATTCCGCTTAAACTATCTCATGTGACGGATACAAAATCCACCGGCCGGGTTTTCACATAAAAACTTATAAGCTTATATAAAGGGGTATTATCAAACCCAAAAACCAAGTCATGGATTCTATCAACTAATTATTATTCACAAATGTTATTTGTTATTGTCCAATTTATTAGGCATATACTAACTCTAAATAGAGTCGTACCTTTTGATAAATCAAAACAATAAACAAATTACATTGATCATAATAATTATATCAAGATTAGGAGTATAAGCTCATTTAATGAATTAGAGAAAGTGTTTTATATGTATTCAGTACAAAAACACATTTTCTCTACTTGGTCCGTTCAATATACACTGAGTATACTAGCACAAGAAGTTGGAGTAGACTTACTCCCATAATCAAGACAAATTATACAATAATCTTGTGCTACAATCATCAAGATATTTTGTCCGATAATATCTTCGATTGTGAACATAGTTTATTAATTATGAGAACCAACAATTTAATCTTCTGTGTATGAGCTAAGACTCCATACACTAAATTGTCTACTACATAATCAAAAGGACACACATGTTACAAATGATCTATTTAAAATAGTGCTTTATTGAATTGAATAAATTAAATAAACAATTGTTTCATAAAGAACAAAATATAATACTATGTCTAAACCGCATGGCTAATAGTATATCCCAACAATCTCCCACTTAGACTCATAACCATGCGTCTAATATTTTAACACCCATTCCTACTACATGCTTGTCAAAAATCTTCTTTGTCAAGCTCTTTGTAAACGGGTCTGCCAAATTATCCTCCGACGCAATCTTCAACACTCTTGCATCACCTCTTTGTGTTATGTCCCGAATTAAGTGATATTTACGCTCAATATGCTTACTTCTTTTATGGCTCTTGGTTCCTTCGAGTTTGCAACTGAACCACTATTGTCACAATAAAGTACAATTGGTGCTTGAACCGAAGGAACCACATTAAGCTCTTTCAGAAAGTTCCTGAGCCAAACAGCCTCTTTGGCTGCTTCAGATGCAGCCACATATTCGGCTTCCATGGTGGAATCAGCAACACACGATTGCTTGATGCTCCTCAAACTTATGGCTCCACCTCCCAAAGTAAAAACATATCATGAGGTAGATTTTCTAGAGTCTCTATCCGACTGGAAATCTGAATCAATATAGCCAATGGGTGCAAGATCACCTGAGTGATACACCAACATATAATCCTTAGTCCTTTTCAGGTACTTGATTATATGCTTAACAGCAGTCCAGTGTTCTCGACCAGGGTTAGACTGAAATCTGCTAACCATGCCAACGGCAAAGCAAATATCAGGTCTAGTACATAGCATTGCATACATAAGACTCCCTACAGGAGAAGCATAAGGGACCGCCTTCATCTTTTCTATCTCATCAGTCGTTTTTGGGGACTGATCTCTTGACAGAGAGATTCCATGCCTAAAGGGGAGAAACCCTTTCTTGGAATCTTGCATGCTAAACCTGGTGAGAATAGTATCAATATAAAGTGCTTGGGACAAGCCTATTATCCTTTGCTTGCGATCTCGCATAAGCTTGATCCCAAGGATATGTGCTGCCTGCCCAAGTCTTTCATATCGAAACGTGAGGACAACCATTCCTTTACTGAATTCAACATGCTCACATTGTTTCCTATGAGCAAAATATCATCTACGTACAAGACCAAAAATGTAACTTTATCTCCACTCCACTTCTTATAGACACAAGACTCATTTTCACATTGATCAAAACCGAATGTCTTAATCGCTGCTTCAAAACAAGTGTTCCATGCCCTAGAAGCTTGTTTCAATCCATAAATGGATTTCTTTAATTTACACAACATGTGCCATTTCCACTTTTTATGAAACCAACTGGTTGTGCCATATAGATGCACTCATCAAGACTTCCATTTAGAAAAGCGGTCTTGACATCCATTTACCAGATCTCATAATTGTAATGAGCCGCAATAGATAAGAGAATCCTTATGGATTTAAGCATGGCTACTGGCGAAAAGGTTTCCTCATAATCGATCCCTTCTTTTTGAGTTAACCCTTTTGCGACAAGTCTAGCTTTAAAAGTTTGCACTTTTCCATCCATTCCTCTCTTTTTCTTATAGATCCATCTATATCCTATGGGTTTGACTCCAGTAGGTGGTTCTACGAGATCCCAGACTTGAATTGAGTACATGGACTCCATTTCAGATTTCATAGCATCAACCCATTTATCAGCATCTGTATCATGTAGTGCTTCGTCGTAATTAATAGGTTCTGTATTAGGCTCTTCAGGGATTCTATCATAAGATTCTCCCAAGAGCGCAAACCGGAGAGGTTTTTTAATAATTCTCCCACTACGACTAGTCACTACAGGTGGAGGCTAATTTTGTTGTTGAATCACTTCACCACTTCCTTGAACTGAAGTCTCAATGTTATTTTCCACAGCAGGTGGTGCTAGGATATCATTGACTTTTTCCTAGAGTGCAGGATCCCTCCCAGATTGCCTCTCAGAATCAGTGGCACTGTTCTGCCGCGGTCCTACCGCGGTTACGCCAGGACCGCGGTCAGAAGGCCCTGAAGAATCAGGGGCATTGTTCTGCCGCGGTCCTACCGCGGTTACGCCAGGACCGCGGCGAGAGAGGCTTTCGATTCTTCAGGTTGCATAACAATTTCAGGTTGTTCAACAACGTGAGGTTGCTCAACATTATTTCCACTACTTTGGGGTAGTGAGATGTCAGGCAATTGTTCTTGTGCAATCTGATGCCTATTGACATTTCTCCCACTACGATAATGCAGTGGTATGTCAATGCTGGCTTCCGGGATACGTTCAAGAGTTGAGTCGTTAGTTATTCCATTATTTAATTCCTGTAAATCTAGTTTACTTCTAGGAATATGGTTCGTTAGATAGTCCTCCTCTAAAAATCTAGCATTTGTCGTAACAATTACCTTCTTTTCTTTGGGACAATAAAACAAACCGCCTTTTGTTCCTTTTGGATATCCAATGAAAATGCAAACTTCTGTCCTTGATTCCAATTTATCTGCTTTCCCTTTCAGCACGTGTGCTGGACAACCCCAAACCCGAATGTGCCGTAAACTTGGCTTTCGCCCAGTCCACAATTCTATTGGAGTTGAAGGTACTGACTTTGAAGGAACCAAATTTAGAATGTAGTTTGCTGTTTCTAAAGCATATCCCCAAAAGGAAAGAGACAAATCGGAATAACTTAACATTGATCTAACCATTCCCATAAGAGTCCTATTTCCCCAAAAGAATTGTCATTGACTTAAGGCAAGAATCTTTTTAAATTTTTGTTTAAGATTCTAATTTATTTATTCCTATTTTTGCAATGCCAAGATTCGGCGGTTAAAGGAAGAGGCCCCACATGAAATTGACAAAAACAATGTCATGACACAAGAAAATGCACAATCCCAATTCATTTCAGAGCTTAATATATTCCCTAAAATCCTGAATAAAGAAAGAAGAATGGAAAAGGACAAACAAAATTCTCATAGTATCAGTCAGTGGTCGAAAGAAGATTTAGAAGAAGACTGAAAAGATATCTTTTTTTATTGCTTTTTTGAACTTCCCATATGTGAAAGTAGGCTGCTTTCAATTCAGAAAACAACAAAAGGGGTGCGTCTAATTCACGTTACATACCCAGTAACTGTTCTTTACTTTTTTGATTGATTTGTATTACAAGAAAGTATAATTCTGTTTTTGCTCCATTCTTGTGGATCCAAGTTTAGTTTTTTTTGCTTGGTATAAATCATGGGTTCTTCTACATAGCTTTCAGTTCACACCCAGGTTTAAATTTTACATTTTTCATTCAATTTCTTGAAAAAATTTATTCCTTTGTTTCAAGAGATGTTTTTTGTTTTTAATTTTAAATGATTATATGGGGAGTTAATTTTATGTAAGCTTTCATGGGTTGTAACCATTTTTGGTATTAGACAATCTTAGATGAACCTTTGAATCTATTTTCTTGTTTCCTTTTGTTCTTGAGAGTGATTAAGATGAACATGTAGAAAAGTTGACCTTTCTGGTTTTTGAGTGCAGAGTGTGGTGATTTTGTGGTGATTCTTGTTTTTTTCTTTCTTCTAAAAGAAAGGGTTTACTAGAAGGGCTTATTTGTTGATCTCAAGTGTTTTTGACAGGGGTAAAGCTAAGAGGGTAATCTAGTTTTTTTTTTTCTGTATCAAATCATGACTAGTGTAAGAGGATATTATAAGCAGTTGGTTAAAATTCCAAGCAATGTATAAGCATGTACAACTAGGTAAGTGAATTTCATGACTTCATGAGTGGTTTTTAAGGGAGTACAAGTAGTCATTGATCCTTATAAGCAAGGACTTCTCAGAGTAAATAGTTGATTATTAGCATCAATTTAGTTATAATTGCTCTTGTCATAGTGGAAGGAAAGGAGAAAAGCTATGTAGATGTATAGATACAGTTTTCAAAATGTCAACATTACATTACTTAAAAACAATCAGGGATGTCTGGTATATAATTCAAGAGCTAAATAAGAGTCTATTAGAGTAAGGTATTTCACCTAAATATCCACTATTAGTAAGAATAAGGAAGTGTCTGACATTGGGTATGAATTCACAATCTGATACCCTTCTTTTGATGTGGCTTTTATGCAACATACTTGTGTCTCCATCATGCATCTGAGGTGATTCAGTTATTTGAAGTCTTCACTTATTGTGCGTTTTTAGTTTCTTGGTTATGCTGTATTTGGTGTATATACTGTGAAGTATCTAACCATCTACCTCGGACAAAATGTGTTTAGCATTATACTTGTGTAAGATCGCAAGTAAGATGTAAATATCCTGTTACCACAGTAGTGATAATGTTGTGTATACTGCGTCCCCGTGCATTACTTTTTTTGTTGGTTTTTGCTGTATGGTTCAATTTTCTCACTGAATATTGTGTGTGTTTAAGTCATGTCTGCTCTGAGAGAAATTTAACATCATTTTTACTAGGTTCATTCTATACATTGTAATTTTGCATCTGAAGCCTCATCTGTTGGATTGCAGGTTTCCTATTCACCAAACCACTGCCGAAACTTCTATAACATAATGGTTAATCATAATCAGGATGATGAATCATGTACAAAACCCATTGGAAGGTGTTCAGTGTTTTATTACGGTGTTGGGCACATGCTCAACGACATAACATCAGCCTGTTGGTTCACTTATCTCTTAGTCTTTCTGACAGATATTGGATTATCCCCAAGGTTCGTTACTCATTTTCTTGCTGTTAGGTACCCTAGTGAGCACGCGTCTTCCAATGATCGATTTAGCATTACGATAACAGGAATTGCCCTTCTTGCGTTTTTAAACTAACATGTACCACTTTACAGTTTTTCTTTATCGTGATCTAGCTTGTCTGCTGATAGATATCTAATGTCTGCATACCTTTGTTGCAATTTTTGAGTTAATGCGTACCAAAACTTTATATACTTCGTTTAGCGTGTGTTGCATGAATATTATGAGTTCAGTGGAGTGGCCCTACCTGATAGGGGCGTAGCTTCTAGTTAGTCAAATTAGAAAGACCGGTTTCATTTTATGGACACAAATATCATAAGGTATATCTGTAGCCTAAACTGGTAAGAGATACCGGTTGGTAATCCAATCCAGGCTTAAAGGGCTCGCGGTCGCCGCTGGACTCTCAAGTCCAATAGTGGAATTTCATTCCCGATTCACCCCATTCATGTTGGCCATTACTGCACCCTCCACAATTTGTCAAGCATGTGACTTCTGCACTCCTGCATCCCTCACGTTTCATTACCCTTCACCCCTCCCTTCAATAAACTTAAAGGAAAAGGCTATAACTTTAGGAGACCTTAGGTTGTGAAGTTGTTGGTTGTGTGCTCATGTGTACCTTGTTTGTTTCTCAGTGATGCTGCAGTTGTAATGCTCTCAGGTCAAGTTGCAGATGGATTGACCACTGTATTTGCTGGTGAACTGGTATCTCTCAATAACATAACTACTGCCTTAACTTAGAGCCCTTAATAATTTATTATATCCACAACCTTTTTCACACTTTTTTAAAACTTTGCTGTATTAACCAAACTCCGTCACTTGCTATAACACATGTATTGCACAAATCTATATGCAGAACATCTTTGATATACACTTAGCTCAAAATACAAACTTAAATTCACATATATAAATTTCTCGCTAACTTTGACTACCTAGGCAGTTTGAAGCATCAACTTGTATTTTTCCAGATAATGGGGGAGAGGACATAAGAAAAACATGTTAAGACATTTCCAATTTCACTTCCTAAGAGAGATCATGAAGTCACTGCTGAATGAGAACAGGCTCTGCCATTTTCACTTTTTTCTCATCTAAGCTTACACTTACCCATTATAAAATGTATAGTTTTTATTTTATGAGTATTTAAATATATGGTTTATGCAGTCATTTTCTTATAACACATTGATTGGTTAAATGCAGTAAGTAACTTTTGACATGAGAGCAGCACATAATTTTTTACAAAAATAATAACAATTACGCCTCAATCCCATGCTAGTAGCACATAGTTTTTTATCGACATTAAATTTAACCTTCTAACTAAGATTTGTCGTTTTACATGATAGATAGACAGGTTTGGGCATTTCAAAGTATGGCATCTTGCAGGATCTGTCTTGGTTGGTGTCTCATTTTCTTCAGTTTTTGGCGGTTGCTTGCCTTGCAAACTTATTGGTTCCGATTCGGCTATGCTGCAAACTATTGGTTACAGTGTGTTTGCTGCAATCTTCAATGTGGGATGGGCTGCTACTCAAGTATCACATATGTAATTTTATGATCTTATCTATCTTCTTTGCTAAATGTTACAATACTACTGTGCCGGGGCATTATAAAGACTTGTCATTCTATTTCTGGTTAGTTGTTTGCTGAATTTATTTAATATATTTGAAAGTTTTCTTCTTCTTCTTTTTTTTTTGGGGGGCGGGGGGTGGGGGGGGGGGGTATGTTTGAAAGTTTTTTTTCACTTACCTTCCGAGGGCAGGGTTTAACATGTTAATCCGCTATTTTGAGGACCATTTTCTGTGACTAATTGAATGATCTCCATCATCACCCAATCCTTTATGTAAAAGACACCAGCTAATGGCTGTGCCTGTGCTCCTCCTCCTCCTCAAGTTATGAGCAATAAGAATGGTGATCCATGCAGCTTTCTACCCCAAAAAGTTATCTTTCTCCATGCTGCTGAAGAAGAAAACTCTCCTCTCCCCTTGCTGCTGTAAATTAGAGGACTGGATAGTAATATTTCCATGAGAATGACAGGTTCTGCCATGGGCTTGATGAATATAACAAGTCAGAAATTTCTCCAGCTTCTCCATGTGCCAATCCCAGACAGCACCTCTAAATTGTACTTCCAAAATTCCTCGTACTGATCTGTAACACCCTAGGAAAAATTCACCATTGGCAAAACATGGGAGAGATGCTAGATATATAAGGAAGCAAGCCTTAGACCACAATGACGTGTTTTAAAGTCGTGCTGTTCTAGGGCCAAAATGGACAGTATAACTAGTGGACTGTGCTAGCAAATATAGTATCAGAGTTGGATTCCAGCAAGATGATGGTGGGGCAAACCTCAGCGAGAATATTGAGTCACTAAAAAGGGTGTATGTGATGGCCATGACGGAAGACTAATAGGCTTCTACTTTAGCAAACTTCCGAAGAGGGGGTGTAGTATGACATCTCAGGAAAATCCCACATCGGAACGGGAGAGAAAAATGAAGGGTTATATAATACAGAGAACAAATTCACATGGTACACCCACTTTCAGGCTCTATATGAGTTGTCCAAGGGACAAAGCTGTGACGCTTGTTGAGACAAAGTGGACAATATGTACCATGGGCTTGGTCTGTGATATGCTCTTCCCTATTTCCCCTACAACAGCTTCCTGATTGGCTTAGATTGTAAACTGTAGAGCTTGGTAAATATAACTTGCTCCAGACTCCTCTAACAATATTTCTATTCCCTAATGAAAGCCTTTTCCCCTCTCTATTTTTAACTCAATATTTTGCATACATGTCTTCCTGTCCCTTTATAGTTTCCTCTCAAAGAACAGTGTCATAACGACCATGTATTCATTCTTCAATACCAAACTTCCATTCCATATTTATCTCCTTTTGATCCTCCTCCAGAACTCCCTTCTTTCACTTAAATGTGTGCCACAGCCACAGATATTTTCTTAATGAAGCTATATCGAGGACCCTTATGTCCCTAACCCCAAGGGGATCATCTTTGATTGCAGAAGTTATCACTCTTCTACCCTCTAGCCGGAATGGTCATCACTTTTGACCACTGCAGCTACATAGGATCCTGATATAATCATGAAATTACCATCTTTTGACAAGTAATTGCTTTGCCAATATGCTAATCTTTTCTCAAATTTCTGGATGTAGGTAAAATAACTAAACTGTAAATAACTTGAAGAACCACTTTAAATTTCTAAGCGCATGAGCACCTTATGAAATTTCACCAAGTATAACCCAAACATTAGCCGATAGTTCTTTGGAAGTTGGTAACAGAATATTTGATGCTTGCTGTAGGTCGATGGTGAACTGCATTACACTGAACTCGACAAGCAGAGTAGTTTTAGCTAGTTGTCGCAATGCTTTTACGATGGTTGGTAATCTCCTCCATGACTTCATGCTATATTTCCTTGCACATGTGAGCAATCATTAACTTTTGGTTTGGTCTGCATTTGCTTGAACCTGATGAATTTGAAGATTGCAAACCTTAGCTTATACGCTGTTGCTTTTGCCGTGTTCAATGTCGTCGGAGCAGGGACACCTGCTGCTGTAGAAAATCAGGTATGTGACCTTCAGTGGCTTTTTTGTTTACTCTAAATTTTCTTTTGGCTTGTTCTCATTACTTTTTGAATGAGCAGTATCGTTGGATTGCATATATATCAATTTTCATTGGAAGCTGCTTTGTGGGCGTGTTTCATCTCGGAACCAGAGAGCCAAGGTCTTCACATGTCTTATTTTCTGTTTTTGAGTGAATTTATTGGCTGCATTATTTTCTGGGACTGGTTTTTTAAGGAAATGTAATTGTTTGAATTATTTCATTGCTTGGCTGAACTGGAGAAAAAATCATTTTGTTTGAGAATTTTGATGGAGCTAACCCCTAACTAGATTATGCATTGAACAAGATAGCTCAGCTTTTCTTCCTCCTCCACAAAATATAGCTTCATTTGTGAGAAACCCAGTTGAAAAATAATATTCCATCCCAGCAGAACAAGTTAGGTTATGTACTTTCAGAAAAGAAAATGACAATTATGCTAATTTTAGAATGGGAGATTGCTTTCAAGTACCATGATTAATTATTAGGGCAAGTTCTTGATAATTCTCTGCTTAGATGTTAATCACTAATATTTGCCTTTCTTGGCCAGTTTGAATTTAGAAGCTCGTGTCAAAGGTTATGTTAGAATTTCTTGGATGTATTGGTTTAAGAAGATCTTATATCACCAAGTTGCTCTTGTTTACTTGCTTACCAGACTTGTGACTAATGTCTCCCAGGTAAGTATTATCTGTTTTGGTGTTGGCCCTTTTGGATAGATATCAGAAAACTGAAATGGATTAGATCGATACAGTTCTTGTGATTGTTTGGATTGCAGGCGTTTCTTGCTTTCTATGTGATTTATGACCTGCAGATGAGTCAGTCTTCAAAAGCTCTGGTATTCTTCTGAACCTCATTTTCATTTAAAATAAAGAGCTTTTATTTGAAACTGGCAAGGGAAGAAATATAGTACTAACTCTTGTTCCTGTTCTTAATTGGTGTGGATAGGTCCCTGCAATCATTTTTATTTGCAGTTTTGTTGTATCCGTCCTGCTACAGGTGCCATACAAACAGAACTTTTTTTTGTCAGTTCTATCTCTAAATTTTCCAACGCCTTTTTTTGCCTCTTTTGTTTCCTTATAGCTGTATTATATGCAGGAGATTACATGGACCAGCCAGCGATTGAAGGGCTTTTATACTGCAGGAGGTCTCCTTTGGGTACTTTGTGGCACAGGAATACTCTTGCTTCCAAGAAACATGAATGTTCTTATGTATATCTTGTCGGTATTGATTGGCATAGCAAATGCCTTGATAATGGTACGGATAATATTCTGTGAGCTTACTTTGAATCTCGACTCTTGAAACTTTATTTTTGCACTTTATCCTGTTGTAGCATATCTATTTTTTGCTTTAAACTTGTAAAGAACACAGATGGGCGGTGTCTGTCAACCATAAGACAGCAATATACTTATTTAACTTTGGTTTATGAGAAGTTTTAGTCCATATAGTTCTGCTGACATATGCTAGAGAGGTGCTTTATCAATTTTTAGATGGTCATCAATTTCTAATCAAAGCATGATACAAAACCATTCTGGAACAGCTTTGGCTATCTTTCAGCGCAAAATTCCTTTATGATAAAATTTATATGGACCAAATACTCCTTTAAGCACTGATGGACTTGCTGTGGGTTAATTAAATTGTGACCTTATATATGTGGAAATATTATCTCCTTAGATAGGACAATTTTCCATTTATTTCTTAATGACACTATTTTCACAAAGGAGGTCTAGCCATATCTTGTGGTTTTTGCTTAATATATGGCACTATTGAGTATCTATGAAGTTGTTAACTAACCATGGACTTGTTTAACTGAAGAGTGGGCAGTAATATTCTTAGTTGTGTAATGATGTTCAGCTACATTAAGCCTTGCATACATGTATATATTCCTCACCATTCTCAAAAAAGCCAAGTGCATACATGTTGTAGTTTCTATTATTCCACGAGGAAGCCCAGGCTCTTTGCTGTGACATGCATTGGAAGAAATAATGATTTAAAATGCTCGATTAATTGTGAAACATGCAATGTGATCAGAAAGCCTATAATTACAATCTTCGTGTGCACCTCTTTCCTATATGACTTAACAGGTGACTGGAGTGGGCATGCAAAGTGTCTTGGTTGGCCGAGATCTAAATGGCTGTGCTTTTGTGTACGGATCATTGAGTTTTCTGGATAAAATGATATGTGGGTTGGCTTTGTTCATTCTCGAGTCATATCAGAGTAAGCATTTGTTCCTGTATCTCTCTGTTATCTTGGTCAATGACCAGCTTCTATGTGTAGTCATTCTAATTGTTTGACATCCATTACTGAGCGTGTCTGTGGAAAACTAATGAATTAGCTCCACCTTAAGTTCATTAACAGAGTTAGTTAGTTAGTTAACAGTTTCGCCTTTTCATCAGCCAAGAACTTGCTGCTTCACCCACTTATTTTCATCATTCCTTTATAATAACCTCTAGCAGAGATCTTTTTACTTTACTATAGACTTGTTACCAGAAAGTTTCTGTTAAGAAATCTGTAATAGGGCGCAGAATTCATTTCACTTTTCTCGCTTAAATTATTTGTAGCTTCCTTTAATCAGATAACTCTTTATTTACTTTGGCACTGTCACCTTTCTATGCAGGATCCTCTCCGGAACTGCACAACTGCAGTACGAGCTGCCCATTCTTTTCCCTCAATCGGTATGCACTAGGCCTCGTTCCAGCGGTATGTGCACTCCTTGGGGTGATAGTCACCTGCAGTATGGACCTTCAGACACTCACATTGAAGCCTCTGGAGGAACCTCTACTAGGTTAACCCCCAAAAAGCTGTTGAACTAATAATTAGTCATATGTTAAAGAAAGGGATTCAAGCCTTGCTGCTGTTAGGTATTGTTTTATACAGATGAAAATATTTCTGCAACACCAATTAGCTCAAGATTATAGAGAACATTAGCTCCATTTATACTCCAGTTAGCTTCTTTCCTAGTAATTTTAACCAAATTAGGATCCCTTAACAAGAAATCATCTGTATAGATTCGGATCCGTATCGGTTCAATGATTTGCAGAATTGTAGTTTGAAGGATTACTTACTGTAAAAACTCTTGAAGGTCAGTAACATGATTGAATTATTGGAGCTTTCTTGTTCTGGCTTAAGTTATATTTGCTCTTTCGTTTATTCATTATTCACTAGTACAATGATTAGTATATGTAAGTTGAAGGATCGCAATACATATGAAGTAATGAAGTCAATCTTACCAAATTCTCCATTTAAATGAAGCAACAGAGAAAATAATTAAAGTTACCTTTCAAGAGTGAAAATTCTCCATTTTTGGCCTAATTCATAAGCCAAAAATGCTTTCGAGTTTTGACCTCAGGCGATCATAGTAAGTTGTATAATCTACTACGGCAAAAGAGCATACACCAAGTGAAGTGGTCACAATGAACTAAGAATTGAAAGAGTCGAAGTAGAAATATTAGAACATCAATATAATGGAGGAGATGAACTGGGCAGTGAATCACATGAAGGGAAAGACTAGTCCAGCTGAACTATATAGAACTATTACATCTGGCAGGAGAGGAATTTCAGAGGAAGCAGAAAACTTCAGTAGTTATGTGCAAGCTAAGATGTATTCTGTTTAGATAGCAGAGGTGTCTGTGTTCCCTAGTTGCTATGACTTATACTTGTGGCATATGTCGAAGGAATCAGTGGTTGGTTTTTTTATGTTTGTGTCTTGTATATAACTATTATTTGGTAAATAAAGTTCCTTTAGATAGCAAAAATAAAAAACAAAAAGGAACCTCAATATAATGGCAGAGGCGTGGATTTTTCTCCTTTCTATGGCGTTGCACGGGAAGAAGATGGTGAAAAATGATACATCGGATAAAGTTGCTAGCGTGAACTAAGGATTAGAAAGTTTGAGGATGAAAATGTACTACATCAACGCGGGAGGCATGAGTTCTTTCCCCTTATATGGTGTTAATTAAAGGAGGAGGAGGAGGAGAGACCAAAATTATACATCAAGCCTATGAACTAAACATGAGTAACTTGACCTACAATAGTAGAAGATTACCGAAATCTTATATGTTATTTTCTTTTCTTTTTTCTTTTATTAAATTTCGTGAAGCAGCTAGCTCTAGCTCCACCATATGATTTATTGCCCCATTGCTAGGGGAAAATCCCCATCTATCATCATCAACCCATCAAAGCTAGGCAAACTAATAAATTTGCAATTAGTGCATAGAGTCCTTTTCCTATCACATAAATAACTCCTATATAATCTTCCAAAGTGCATAGTCTTTTTTCCTATCTGGTCCACCACATCAATACTATGATACTACAAATGATATACCACAAGGAAAAGAAAAGGAGTGGAGAAGAACTATGATTTTTTATTTTGGTACAACTCTTTTGTGAATAATTCAAAACCAATAAATTTTGCAAAACAATTGAAGAAAGTACTAGTAATTTTTGCAAAGGAAAGAAAATGCACTCTTGTGAGAAACTATTAAAGTGACATGTAACCAGAAACTATCAGTAGTAATACCTAGTAGATTGGCTTTGTATGGCAAGAAAGTGACTGAACCCATTTGTTTGCTAACAAATGTCAACTAAATTTTGGTCATATCTGTAGCTTTCAAGAACTTATGAAATCTATTGCAACATTGCAAGTTCTTGAAAATAAGAATACTCCAGGCTATTACTTTTTTTTTTTTTCATTGAGTAATAATTTGTTTGGTCAAGCTTCTACTAAACTAAAAGTACCTTTTTGTTTTAAATTTAAAAAAAATTACTTATTTTGGAGACTTAAGATGCTTGGCTGTAGCTTGTAGGCCGAATTTAGTTTATATTGTAGATATACGGTGTATATGTATTTATAAATTCATTAAATTAAATACAAATAATAGAGGGGCAGCTCAAGCACATGCGGGGCCTAAAGCCAAAGTTTAATATGAGGCCTAAACTTAAAAGAAAGTTATAAGATATGTGTTTATTTGAAGTCTATTCTTCTAACTTTTTGAGATACAAAGTTATTAATAATCTTTTTTATTATTGATTTTCTCTAATAATTCTTTTTTAATTTATAATATAGCCAACTCGTCTAATCATTTTTGAGATATTATTGATCTTAGATAAGATTTTATTCAGTAATAGAAGTATATATAGAACTATTGGAAGCTTAAAATTATTGTTGAACACTTAACAAATCAAATCTTGGAGAAAGAAGAGGAGCAAGAATATTAAAGAGAAACAAAATATGTAGGAATTTCAGAAATATGAAGAGATTGAGGAAAAGAAAGATTGACTTGGACAAATTAAGAAAGGGAGAATAAAATTTTGACACGTCATCTAATAAGGGAGTAAAAAGTAGAAAATTTAAACATTGGAAAAACTATTCATCTATACATTTTTAAGAAAGTCAAATTATTACTTTATTTATATATCTAAAGGGCTTTTTACTTTTATATTTAACACTATACTTTTGTATTGAAAATATTAAATATTATTTTTTAAATATTTATAAACCTATTATTTTGAAAAAAACGGGGCCCCTCAAATTTGGGGGCCTAAGGCACAAGTCTTACTACTTATAGCATTAAACCCGACACTGATAATAGATTCTAAACCTAGTGAATCAAATAAGTTGGGTAAAGTACTCAAACCTATAATGTTCAAATTCCGGATCTACCCCTGCTTGGCCAAGTTTTTTTAGGGGGGTGGGGGGTGGGGGGTGGGGGAGGAAGTGCTTTTGAGTGGTGTTTAACCGAAAAATAGATTTTTCAGTCAAAGTCTAAATTTAGAAGAAAATGGGCTACTGATAATCATGTTTTACTTCATTTTCACAATGATATTTAAGAAAAACAATAAGAATGGTAGAGAAAATTGACTAGAAGAAATAAGGAATGAATTGATGGACAATTCCTAAAATCAGGCTGAAAAACTCAATAAAGCAGAGAAGTATAGAATATATTTCAATAGTACTTAGAATTTGTCCTTACAAATAAAATTTTGTACCCTTATATAGGAGTGTACAATCATAACGGTTTTCTCACATAATTTGGATTTATTATGGGCATTAATTGTATTGATTGCCCATTATCACAAATAGTTGTAACTGGCGTATTTATTGTTATAAATGTCTTATAACTGTTCTGCTTCTCCTTCTTTATTTACTTTTGGTTCATGTATCCTCCCTTCTTTTTTATCCTTATTCATTCTGTCCACGCCTCTTCTTTGACAATTATCAGACCCGATTCTTTTTTGTATTGTCTCGCAGGTATTTTTCCCGTGCCTTCCTCTCTCAATTAATTTTATTAGTTGAGAATGCCACTTGTCGCTGTATCACTGCTCCACGCGTCATGCTTCGTCAGCATACTAGCATTTCACGTGTAATGCCTTTTTTTCACCGATACAGATAGTCCCCCCACTTTCTGAATATTCTCGACTGATTATTCGGGAAGTAGAAAGCTTTTATAGAGGGAATTCTCTGCCGCCGTTTTTCGAATATCATCATGTCTCCTTCAGAACCGATGTGACTTACATCAAATCCATTTAATGCACATGCAACGTGGCCTCTAACGGTTGGTGCTACAGTTTCTCAGCGTTTTTTAGGGTTTCTCTGCGGCCGTGTCAGCCACGAAGTGACGGTTCTATTATAACGCTTCATAATGACCAACTTTGATAATGGTCGTGTCTCCTTATAAATACTCCATTCTTTTTTTATTTCTTGGAGTCTTTCTTCTTCAATATCCATCACTTTATTCTTGTTTTGCATTTTTCTGCATCTTTCGTCTGTATTTCTTTTAACAATCATGTCTTCGCTAGATCCTTGTAAAGTTGTGATTGTCAATGAGTTTGTTCCTTCTAATGCTCTCACTAGAAGTAGAAGGGGTGGTAGGCTTCGTAGTCTTGGTTCGATATCCAACCGTGTTCCCTCTTCTCAGAGTAGTGCTATTAAGCCATCTTCTTCTAAGCCTATGGCTCATTTTAACCCCTAGATCTTCTTCTAGAAATAGAGACTCGGCTGATCCTGTGCATGAACCCACCGTTGCAGAGATTGTTTCTCAAAAATTTTCTTTTGTAACTGATCGTGAAACCATAAGAAACCAAGTTTCTTCCATGGCTTCCCTCAACCATGCAGACCTTTACCCGAGTTTGATCACTACCGGTCTTCTTTCTCTGGTTCGAAGGGAGTGTTACTGGAAACAAGATTTTCCAGTTTTAGTTCCTGGTACCAACCAGAGAATTACTTCCTATCATGCTTGTTTTTCTTTTGTCTACAACTACCCTTTCACTTTAGGGTTCAAACCTCCTATTGATCCAGTATTACTTGAATTCTGTCGTTATTTCAACGTGTATCTTGGCCAGATTGGCCCCATAGTATGGAGGGCTGTTGCATGCCTTCGTTATTTGGCAGAGCTGGTTTCCGTGCCTTTTACTTTTTGGCACTTGCTTCACCTGTAACCCCCCCCCCCCAAGCTATTTCGTGAATGTGTCTTTACTCTCGTGGCTAGGAGTAAGAGAGTTTTGGTTAGTCCTGAAGACGATCGGGACCGTGGCTGGTATGCTCGTTTTGTCGCTGCTCCTACTAGTGGATTAGTAGGCGAAGAAAACATGCCTTTCCCCAAAAAATAGAACTTTGCACGTAAGCTTTCTCTTTTCTTTTTGAAATATCTCAAAAGATATCATTATAATCAGATACCCAATTTTTCAGCATCCATAGAGGTTTTTGATGTTATTTTCAACTTCCGTGCTTGGGTAGAAAAGATGTTGACAGCAACGTCTATGGAGAAAAGGTCCTGGAAATACCTTTCTCAAAAATTTGGTTGGAAAGTGAAGACGCATGGTAATCTTTACCTTCATTGTCCCTTATTTTATCTTCCTTGTTTATTCAAAAAAAAAACCATCCTTCCCTTTTTTTTATTAGGGTTTCCTATTCGTGGCATTAGTCCCGCGTCTGTTCCATCAACCAGGCTTTCCGTAAGTCTTGCTCAGGAAAAAATTTTAAGTGCTGTCACGACCCAAACTGATGGGCCGCGACGGTCACCCAGTGCCTTACTCAATCGAGTACCAACGTAATGTATCTTCCGTATCGTATTATCATAGGAAAATGAGACAGAAAGACTGTCGTGAGATGACTA